GCCCCCGGGACAGAGCGGTGGCATCCGGGCGCAGTCGGAGCCTGGGGCCCTGCAGCGGAGGAGCCCCGCACCGCACCGCGCTGGGACGACCCCCCTTTCCTGTCTTCCGCAGGCCTGCGGAGCTGCCTGTCCCGCTCGGTGCTGGGCGTCCTGGGCGTGGTAAGGAGGGGCCTGGCGGGGGGTCCCGGCCTGGGCGCTGGGCTAGGTGGGGATGCTGACTTCTCCCCCTGTGCCCAGGTGGCCTCGGCCCCCAGCTCCACCGCTGTCTGCCATCGCGGCTTCTCCGTTGAGGCCAAGAAGACATACGTGCGGGACAGACCTCACGTCAATATAGGTACCATCGGACACGTCGACCACGGGAAGACCACGCTCACGGCTGCCATCACCAAGAGTGAGCCCCCCTTTAATGATCTCCCTGGAGAACCCATCCCCCCAGCCCTCGGGGAGCAGGGGAGACCCTGGCGTCCAGGCAGCAGCTGACCCCTGCCTCTGCCCCCCCAGTCCTGTCGGAGACCGGCAGCGCCAAGTTCCGGAAGTACGAGGAGATCGACAACGCGCCGGAGGAGAAGGCACGTGGTATCACTATCAGCGCTTCGCATGTGGAGTATGCCACCGCCAACCGGCACTACAGCCACACTGATTGCCCTGGCCACGCCGATTACATCAAGGTGCCTGCCCATACTGCTGCCCCTTTAAGACTCCAGTGCATGGGGGGGGCATCCCAGAATCCTGCGGGGTTCAAGGGTCAAGACCTCCGAGCTAGTACCCCTGGGGCCCCTGGCTCAGCGTGTGGGGAGAACGCAGGCATCCTGGCTCCTGCCCTTTCCAGTAGGAAACACGGGTCTGGGACACACTCGCACGTACATCCATATACCAACACATAAAGGGAACTCAGGTGTCCAGGATGCACTCCTTCTCCTGCCCTTAGACCTGGCTCTTGGGCTCGGGTGCAACACACGGAGAGATCCCTGGTGTTCGGGATACGCATGCACCCCACTTCTCCCTGCCCTGTCCTGACGGCTGCCCCCACCCCTCAGAACATGATCACGGGCACGGCGCCCCTCGATGGTTGCATCCTGGTGGTGGCAGCGACGGAAGGGCAGATGCCGCAGACACGGGAGCACCTGCTGCTGGCCAAGCAGGTGGGTGTATGGATTGGGTGTGGGGGGCGGTTTGTCTCTGAAGTGGGGGCCCCCTGGCGGCAGGACTGCGGGCAGGGGTCATTGCAGGAGCCAACGGGTTTCCACTTTGGAGAGGTCTGAGCAGCCAGAACCAGGAGAGAGCCCTGGTGTCCTCAGTTTTATCCCAGTAGGCCTTGCTCCCCACCCAAGGAACCCTGGGGTCTGGGCTCCCAGCCCCTGCTCCCCTCCCAGAACCAAGAGAGAAGCTAGGTACGCAGGCTCCCCATCTCTGTCATGCTCTAATCTCAGGCTCTTCCTTCGCCGCCCAGAGCTGGGATTGCATCCAGGTGTCGGGGCTCGCAGTCCCCCCTGTACTTGCCCCACTCCCCTTGCAGAAAACCCAGGCATCCTGGCAGGGGTTGGAGGGAGGGGTTCCTTGCTGCTCCCTGTACCTGACTGGCTTGTATGCCCCGGTCCTAGATCGGGGTGGAGCATGTGGTGGTGTACGTCAACAAAGCAGACATGGCGTCCGACAATGAGATGCTGGACTTGGTGGAGCTGGAGATCCGTGAGCTGCTTTCTGAGTTCGGCTATGACGGCGACAATACGCCTGTCATATTTGGCTCTGCCCTCTGCGCCCTCGAGGTAGGTGTCCCATGGCCGGGTCCCCCCAGTGGCAGGTTAGCCTGTTTTGTCCCCTTCCTTACTCTGGTGGTTTGGTCCAGCTGCTGCTGTTCAAGTGTTGTCCCCTCCCATTGCCGTAGAACCGGGAGCCCAAGATGGGCCTGGAGTCAGTGCTGAAGCTGCTGGAGGCCGTGGACACCTACATCCCGCTGCCACCACGGGAGCTGGACAAGCCCTTCTTGCTGCCCATTGATTCCACCTGCTCCATCCCAGGTAGTATCCTCCCCTGGGGGGGGCAGGGTCCACCAGCTGGGCCTGATCTCATCCGTTACCCCCATCTGTCGCAGGCCGGGGCACAGTGGTGACAGGGACGCTGGAGCGTGGCATTATCAAGAAGGGGGACGAGTGTGAGTTTGTGGGGCACAACAAGAAACTGCGCTCCGTTGTCACAGGTGGGTCCCCCCAATGCGTTCTGCTCTGGGCCAGGGAACTACCTCTGCCAGATGGACTCCTCTCTGGGGCATGGGGTCCACCCCCCACCCCATGCTTTCCGTCCTGTAGCTGGGAATCTTTCTTCTCAGGAATGGTTTCCCCCACTCCCTGGGACTCGGATCCTCCCCAATCCTGCTAGAGATGGTCTGATCCTCTTCCTGAGCTGGGGTGCCGTGGTCTGATCCATTCTCTATGTTTGAGTTTTCCCCCTTCCAGAATGGTCTCTTCCTTTGCCTGTGCTGGAGATTACCCCCCCACTCCCCTTTCTTCCTACTTAGAACCACCCTGGCCACTTTCTAGAGGCCCCCTACCCTCTTGGTCTTTTCTTTTTCCTGGACCTGCCCCTGCCTCCAGTGTACTTGGCCCCCTCCACCGCTGCCCTGAGCTCCCTTCCTTCCCCCAGGGATCGAGATGTTCCACCAGAGCTTGGACCGGGCGGAGGCCGGCGACAACATGGGTGCGCTGGTGCGGGGGTTGCGGCGCGAGGATGTGCGCCGGGGCATGGTCATGTGCAAACCGGGCTCCATCCAGCCCCACCAGAAAATCGAGGCGCAGGTCAGGGGCTGGGGCAGTGGTGTGGGGCTGGATTGGGTGGGAGGTCGTGGGCTGGCTGTGACTTGTGACCCTTTCCCCACCCCAGGTCTATGTGCTTAGTAAGGAGGAAGGGGGGCGAAGCAAGCCCTTCGTCTCCGGCTACAAGCCCATCTTGTTCTCACTCACCTGGGACATGGTTGGCCGCATCTCTCTGCCCCCTGGGAAGGTATGAGCCCCTTTGCCTCAGCTGCGTGCCTGCCCTGCCCTGCCCGCCCTGACCCTGCACTGTGTCCACAGGAGCTGGTGATGCCTGGGGAGGACACGAGTCTGACAGTGACACTGCGGCAGCCCGTGGTGCTTGAGACGGGGCAGCGCTTTACCCTGCGTGATGGGAGCCGCACTATTGGCACTGGCGTTGTCACTCGCACCCTGGAGATCACCGCGGAGGAGCGAGAAGCTGCTGCTGAGTGAGAGCCTGGACACTTGGGGGGGGGGGGGGGTTGCATTGTGAATAAACATGTTGTACTCTGCATAGACTGTGGGTGTTGTTTGTGGGGGCACACGTGACTAGGTGGCGGACCTTGCAGCGGCGAATACCCTTGCTGTCTACTTTGCGCAGGCGCAACCTCACCGTACTACAGTCACTGAGGGAATGGGACGACTGCCCGCGGCGCATGCGCACTGCTCCCTCAACCTCAGATTCCCTGTCCTGCGGTGAGAGTTCCCCTGGTCTAAAATGCGCATGCGTCACAGCATAATGTTCATTCTCGCACATGCGCACAGCAAGCGCAGGGACGTGGCGGGGCGGCGCATGCGCAGGCCCCATAGGAGGCAGCAACTCGTTCTAGCGCTCCTTCCGATCACGTGCTTCCTCTCCCGCGCAGGCGCAGGGCAGAAGCGACGCCTTCCCTTCGCTTCATTGTGCAGAGGAGCTCGCGCCTGCGCACTGAGCCCGGCGGAGAGGGGGAGGGGAGGGGCCGCCGCGCACGAGACGACGCCGCCGCCATCTGCCCCCCCCCGGGCCGG